CAGCAGCTCACATTTACTTTGTCTCGTGACATGGACTACAATTTCCCACAATGTAACAGCTTTCTTCCCACTTTCTCCCCATAGTTACCTCTTCCCTGTGTCCTTCCCTCCCATGCACTCCTGCCCTCCTGAGCTGTCTTCCCTGTGTATATACAGCCCTTCTATTCTCCCATGATTGATCTCTCCAAAGATTTTATCTACCTAATATTTATGTTCAGCTCATATGTCTGTTTTTTGTTTGGCTGGAAGCCACAGGAGTGGGTTCAATTCCAGACCTGAAGGGCCACTATGGGCCATAGTCTCAGAGGTTCCACCAGGCTCTATCAGACCAGCTAACCTGGTCCCTGCCCCCCTTTTTGTTAAATGATTCTGAGTTTTGTTCCTCATTGTTTTCCCACTCTGTCCAGGATCTTGGCTATAAGCTTTATAGAAGCAGACTGCAAGGCCTTTCTTCTAAAGGATCACAGGGTAGGTCTGAACCACCAACCTTTACTTTAGTAATTCAGTGCAAACCATTTACACCACCCAGGGACCTCATCAATCTTAAGGACATTTGTTAGAGGTGTACTATGATTACTTGTGATTTATATTCCTTACTAAACTACAGGTTACTTGAGGACAGGAGATAAAGTTTGCCCATAAAAGAACATAAAAAATTCTTCAAACTCAAAAAGGCTGACATATCAACCTTAGTTTTTCATCTGAAAAGTATAAGAGTTAGAGTAAACAGTTCCCCCTCCTACTTCTAAAATTTCATTCTTCTTTGAAATTAAATCTATATTTTAGGATATGTAGTTTGAGTTATCCCAACACTAAATAAAACACTTATTTTTGTTTAACCTAGATTGCCCTAAGAATTCTAAATAATTAGCTTTTCAAAATTGTCCTATGGAAAGGAAGACTCGTTAGCAAAGCAGATTAAGATGATGGGGTCTCAAGTTACAGGACTGAACACCAAAAAGCATATTTAAATAAATTCCACATTCACATGTACTAGACTGACTAAACTGAATCTGTTTATTCTTAATATTATTGCATTTTTGTATGCACATGAATTTGTCTTTAAGAAAATTACAATACCTTATTCATACTACACTTGCTCTAGCAGCAGCCTAATGAATAAAATAAAGATTTGGACTAGGACCCTCTATTTCTTGTCTTGGTTCCACAACTGTCCTGTTTACAATGGTGTTATCTTTACTGTTTGAAAGCAAAAAAATAAAAAAATAATAGAAAAATGAAAAAAACAATAACCCAGAAACTACTTAGGAAAGGGCATTTTAAAGATGAAATGTAAATGTCAAAAGCAGACTCTTCTTCTACAGAGGGTCATTTAAATATATCTGAAGCAGAAAAATGGTGAAACATGAAAGAAAATTCAGGTAAACAAAATCATACAAACAGAACTTAGAAAATGAGTAGTCAAAATAATCTGGCTAAAAATGGCCTTAAAAATGATTTAAATACTGACAGAGCCTGCTGGAACCCCTGAAACTATGGCCCCTAGCTGCCCTTCAGGTCTGGAATTGAACCCGCTCCTGTGGCTTCCAGCCAAACAAAAGATAGGTGTATGAACTGAACATTTACATTAGGTAGATACAGTCCTTCAAGAGATCAATCATGGCAGAATACAAGGGCTGTGTATGCACAGGGAGACAGCTCAGGGGCCAGAAGTACATGAGAGGGAAAGACACAGGGAAGAGGGGAGGAAAGGGGAAGAGAGCTGTTGCACTGTGGGAAACTGCAGTCAACGTCATGAGACAAAGTGTATGTGAACTGCTACGTAGAAAATGAATTTGCTCTGTAAGCTTTCATCCACATCACAATTAATAAATAAAAAAAAAAAAGACAGAAAAAGAAATGACTTAAATATCAAGTGTTTAATAAAAGAGAGAGAATTACGTAAATAACAGATTATCAGGAGCACTGGTAGCATAGTGCCTAAGGCACTTGACTGTTAACCAGAAGGCTTGTGGATCAAACCACCAGCCACTCCTTGGGAGGAAGGCTGGGCAATCTACTTCTGTAGTGATACCGCCTTGGAAACCCAAGGAGACCCAGGGTCGCTATGAGTCAGGTCCCAAGGAGGGGTCGCTATGAGTCGGGTCTGGGGGTCTGGCTCAACGGCACCTAACAACAACAACAACAGATTATCAACTTGATAGATCAGTTCAATTTTGTAAAAACATGCAAATATATAGAGATTGCAAGAATAAAGCAAAAACAGTTGTTATCATAATAAGAATATGGGCAGAACTTTTTAAAACCCTCCAGAAGGCTTTAATGTTGGTTCAATAATAAAGTTGAAATAGATTCATCCAATAGTTTTCTCAAAGTCTTTATTTAAACTGAAATATATTTGTTTTCTGAACAAATATAAACTCACTTGTTTTAACTGACTTCGCCTTTTTGACAAAAGCATGATATTTTCATTTAGCAAATCCCATTCTTTAGCTTCATAGCACATCTTCACTACTGCCACCAAGATACGGGATGTAGACACCATATCAGAAGCCTGTAAGAATGAAAATACATTCAAAGTTAATGCGGCAATGTTTAGTGAAATTAAGGGTAATTGTGGTTTTTACTACCATCTACTCACTGTACGGGTCTGTTTTTCCAAAGAGAGGAGGGTTTCAATGACTTCCTGAAGTCTTCCTTCCTAAAACAAAAAAGTTAAAAATGAACAATGAAAACAGCAACTCCAACACAAAGCTAACTATTCAGGTCTAAGATGAGTTGTTTCTGACCCAGAAAAGGAGAAACCAGAACTTATTCCAGTGGAAAAGGACCGTCCCCATGAATATTTTTGTTTTGTTTCCCTCCTTTTCACAACAGTTCTTGCTTCTCCAGTGGAGTCCGGGGGACTACAAGCTATTTTAACATTTAAAAATGCTTAACAGAAACAGAACATACAACAATGATCATATTCCCTGTAATAAAATATTATAAATTATGGTGTTTTGAGAGAAAATAAAAAGTTTATTTGGTGGTAAAAAGATCAGGAAACCTTGGTTTAATTTTCTAATAACATTAAAAATAATTTAGCAGCTGTGCCTAAAGGAAATAAAGACCTTCCTAAGAGTGCCCACACATACTCCACCAAAAGTAAAAGTCATGCCCTTAAGCAGACACTGACCTAGTACTCTCAATATACTCTTTAAAAGTTACACCATTTTTTTCCTCCCATGTTAATGGATAATAACCTTCCCACACTTTTATCTAAAAACCAAGATATTTTTATCCTGCAAAACCAACATATTCTCCCTGGACACATACTAACCAAAAAACCAAACACTGCCATCGAGTCGGATCCGACTCATATCAAACCCCTCCTTGGGTTTCTGAGGCAGTATCACTACAGAATTAGATCACCCCATTGTCCTTCTGAGAAGTGGCTGGCTGGTAGGTTTGAGCCAACAGCCTTCTGGGTAGCAGTCAAATGTCTTAGGCACTATGTCACCAGTGCTCCCAGGACACAATAAAAAATGGGAATAACACAATTCAAATAATATAAAACCTAAATGATAATACACCAGGACCAAAATAAGTCATCCTATTAAGAACACGGGAGCTCTGGTAGCATAGTGGCTAAGACACTTGCCTGCTAACCAGACAGCTGGCGGTTCAAACCCACCAGCCGCTCCTCGGAAGGAAGGTTGGGCAATCCTACTTCCGTAGTGATACTGCCTCGGAAACCCAAGGAGGGGTTGCTATGAGTCGGGTCTGACTCGACAGCACATAACAACAACAACAACATTAAGAACACACATTTTTATAAAAAACAAAATATAACCTCCACACAAAAATAGCATTTATTAAAGATACCATTAATAACCATAACTATCATGTGCACATCTCTGACAATGTTAAGAACTGGAAGTGAGCAGCAAACTTTTATTTAGAAATTGATTTTTTACCATAAACTTTATTTTCAATCATAGTGACACTCATGGATGGCACAAGTGACATGAGTACCATCCTTTTCTGCTGATTAAAGAAACTAAACAGCATTTGAAATAAGGGCACAATAAATGTTTGTTTTTGGATTTTCAAAATACTGCTTCCATATAATTTTTAAACTATAACTTTTTTTAGCACTACATACTGTATGGCCATTATTTGAACTTAAAGAATAGTGAACAAATCTATAAATTCTGCAAAGTTAAAGGCTAATAGACCTTAAGAGATCAGAGAATCTTCAAAGTAGAAGGACTGATACAAAGTATCTATTTAATTCAAGCACCTCTGTGGAGAGATTAAAGACTGAAGACCAAGCTGTTTCAATGACTTGTTCAGTCACAAAACCAATCAGCAGAGCCCTCAGCCTCTTCGTCCATTGTTCTGCTCTACTAAATAAACCTCTTACTATAGTAGTTTGAATCTTTTCTTTGATCAAAGCCATTTTCATAGGAAATGGCTGGTGACTGTCTGGCAACCAAATGATGTGCAAAACTAGTTCAAATGCAAAATACTCTTTATTGATGGCCACCTCAGGACCATAATCAAGACATCCTATCACCTTTACAATGAAGTCAAGTGACTGACCAACAAAATTTACTTTAATACACATGGCATTCTGATTCAGGGTCACTAGGAGTCAACTCAACAACACTGGGTTCAGGTTTGACACAGAAGCATGGGTTTTAAAGAACTCTGCCCTCCACGTGAAGGGATCACACATAGCTACAGAGCCATGGTCTGTGTTATTAACAAGGCATTACATGCCACTACTCAAACAGGAGTTTGTGGCTAGTCCTGTCAAAAGTCAGCAGTCACCTTAACATTCAACTCTATTGACTTTCTGCTTTACAATTACCCCAAACTATGCTCTATTTTGAGGTGCTCTGGTTATGCAGTGGTTAAAGCATTCGAGTGCTAACCAAAAGATTGGTAGTTTGAACCCACCAGCTACTCCACAGGAAAGATGAGGCAGTCTGCTTCTGTAAAGATTTACTGCCTTGGAAACCCTATGGGGCAGTTCTACTCTGTCCTACAGGGTTGCTATGACTCAGAATCGACTTAATGCAGTGGGCTTGGTTTTGGGTTTGGTCTTTGCAATCTCACTAAAATGTAAACTCTGTAAGGGCAGGACCATGGCTATACTGTTCGCCATTGTAGCTCAGTGCTCTGCACCATTCCAGGCACACAATACTGCTTCTGTGGACATTATGATATATCCCTTTACATTCTGTATCTTATTAACATACATGTCTTACCTCCCAAATGATGTATAATTTCCATTAGGGCCTAATCCTTGTTTCCCTTACACCAACTTGCACATAGTATGTGTTGAGCAAATCAATATTGACCCTATTCAGTTGACAATAGATCTTAATGGCCTACAATTCCTGACTCTAGCCATAATAACTAGGATGTGACAAATTCTATGGCTGACAGCTTAGTGCTATTTGAGGGATACCACCATCAACTTCATTAAATATAATTCTCAAGTCTCTAACCATCTCACTTTTTTCCTTCTAATCTCCCATATTCAATCCTATGGCTAAACACCTTGCTCCTCCCTTTCCTGTCTATTGACCCAGTTCCTGAAATCTCACCTCCTTAAATCCTACCTCTCCTGCCTCAACTCAGAAGGAACAAGATGTTGAGTTAGCCAAAACCAACTTGTAGAACATGGGACTTGTGTAACTCATTTTTCTCATAATAATCCCTGTACACAGGTAAATGACTAACGAGTCTCTCCAACATCGATATATGCTAGGTATCTGTATCTACTTTGCCTTCTAAATGGCCCAATCTTTTAGTGATTTGTTAAACAAGCTAAATCAGAAAAAGATCACCACAAATAATTGTAATTAAAGTCAATCTAATACTTTTTAACAGCCTATCTCTGAAAAGAGTCTATTGTCTAAGTTGCTAATAACCTGTAACCTGTTAGACATTTTACTTTTAATACTAACCTTGAGAAGAGGCTGCAGGTGACTAAAAGAAAGGAAATGACATCAAGAGGAAGGAGACCCAAAGGATAAATTCAATCTAAGAGTGTAAGCACTCCCCAAATAACCATTCACCAAATGTACCAGTTAAAAGAGGGGTGGGGAAGAGAAAGCTGTGCATCAGGAACTGCGAAATACCTTATCTTCAGCTCAGAAAAGACTCTCTTTAATTTTTAACTTCCCAATACAGGAAGAAAAGATGCTCATCAAGAACTAGCCTCACACCTGTGAAAAGCTGACCCGGCAAAAGCTGTGATACATTTACAACAACAACAGAAAGGGCAGCTGCTGAGGATGCTTACATACAACCAAACACCTCATGGGATTCGGTTCCTTGGTTTGGAGGCTTAGGGTCATGGTTTCATGGGATATTCCAGTTCATTGACCTAATAATGTGTTTAATAGTTCTGCTCTACCTTCCAGTTCCTTGTATAGAGTCTGGGATCTTAAAAGCTTGGAAGCAGCTGTCCAAGGCATGCCAATTGGTCTCTATTTGCCTAGAGCAAAAGATGAAGGACAATCAGAAATAGGAGGAGGATACAGAATGTGTGGCTGGTTGTCTCTGGTACCCCCACCCCCCACCCCCGCCATCCCTTGCCATGACAGCAGAGAAACTGGATGGTGCCAGCTACCGTTATTAAACATTTTCCTCTGATCAGCAGGAAAAAATGCAGAACAGACTTTCTGGAGCCATGGGAGCTGGCTAAACCTCTGAAATTACTGCCATGAGATAACCTTGAAAACTTAAACCAAAAATATCCCTTGAAGTCTTCTTAAAACCAATTAATGTTGTTACGTGCTGTCAAGTCAGATCCGACTCATAGTGACCCCTTTTTGGGTTTCCGAGGCAGTATTGCTACAGAAGTAGACTGTCCAACCTTCCTTCCGAGAAGTGGCTGGCGGGTTTGAACCACCAGCCTTCTGGTAGGTAGTCAAGTGCCTTATGCACTATGCTACCAGAGCTCCTGGCAAAACCAATGAATAGTTTAGCTTAACTAGTAAAAAATGTCTGCCTTGAACTTATGCTCTCTTAAGAGCTATCTATACGGGATAAATTGACAAAAACAACTGGCAAGATTAGACAGGAACCTTAGGGGGCAGTGAGTTTATGTCAGTGAGGAAGGACCAAGTCTGAAAAGGATAGTGAGAATGGTTGCACAACTGGAAGAATGTAATATCATTGAATCGTGCATGTAGAAATGGTTGAATTGGTTTATGTTTCGCTGTGTATATTCTTAACAAAACAAAATTTAAAAAAAGAAAAAGAACGGGTATCACTTTACAATCTCACCCATGTGATACAGGGTCCTCACCTACCCATCACAACAGCAGCCAGACTGTCCATGTTGCCTTGGGCAAAGCATTTAACTTTACTGACCTTCAATTTCACCTTCACCTTCAGTGGAATGAATATAGTAACAGTACCCAAGACACAGGGTTGATGTGAGGATCAAATCAGTATCAATAAAGAATTTCAAACTGCCTGGAACATAGTATGCTACTTTACCTCCTCCTGCTCATTTACATGAACTTTTATAGCAACAGGTATTAGTTATTGTTGCTATTTGACAGGAGGGTGTTAACACATAGACACAGAATTGTATTAGGTTACAATTGTAGGAGATTCAAATGGTCCCCCACAACTCCACAGCCATCAAGTCGATTCTGGCTCACAGCGACCCTGTAGGACAGAGTAGAACTGACCTAAAGCTGTAAAGCTTTATGGAAGCAGACTGCCTCATCTTTCTCTCACTCAAATGGCCCGGATTTGGCAATTTCACTATGCAAATCTAGACTCAGTCAGCTCTGCCATGTATGGTCTTCTCACCTGACACAGTCTAATTAAGAGTTTACACACAAATAATTTTTATCTTCAAATGATTTCCACCTTAAAAATTAAAAAAAAAAAAAAAAAAGTCTTAAGAAAATTAAGCCCAGAATTGATAGGAACATTGAACCTTTTCCAGAAGGCCTGTGCTCCATATGGCTCTGTTTAGATAAACCACTTAGGCTGCCCTAGCCTTAGTTTTCTCACACGTTATTTTCAAAATGAAAATAACAATACATTTTCACAATTTTAGTCTCCCAGTGAACCACCAATGACCCCTGCCTTCTCTCCTACCTGGCCCCCTAAAAAAACAACCCACACAAATGCCTTATTTTGTTTGGCTGGCACACTGGTGTTTTTTAATTTTTAATCAGAATCCAAATGCTTATATTGTATCAAGTTTAACAGGCCTGAACATTCCCACATGTTTTAAACACTTCCATTACCTAGCTGAGGAGCTTTGGTAGCATAGTGCCTAAGGCATCCAACTGCTAAGCAGAAGGTTGGCGGTTCAAACCCACCAGCCACTCCTCGAAAGGAAAGTTGGGCAATCTACTTTCAAAGTGATATCGCTTTGGAAACCCAAGGAGGGGTCGCTATGAGTCGGATCCGACTCAACAGCACATAACAACAGCAACAACAACATTACCTAGCTAACATCTAAAAAGTCATTTGACATTTGAGTTTGTAAAGAGCTCTTGTGGCATAGTGGTTAAAGTATTTGGTGCTAACCAAAAAGCCGGCTATCTAAACCCACCAGCTGCTCCGTGGGAGAAAGATGAGACAGTCTGTTTTGGTAAAGAATCACAGCTTTGGAAACCCTATAGGGCAGTTCTACTCTGTCCTAAAGGTTTGCTATGAGTAGGCATCAACTCGATAGCAGTGGGTTTGGTTTGTTTGGAGCATAATTGTTAGCAACAGCTCATGATGGAATTAATTCAACCACCACCTATACTCTAGTCAGGCAAACCCAGTTTTTAATCCTTGGTTCTACCTATTACTGTGTGGTTGTTAGGTGCTGTCCAGTGGGTTCTGACCCATGTTGTTGTTGTTGTTATGTACCGTTGAGTTGGACTGACTCATAGTGACCCCTCCTTGGGTTTCCAAGGCAGTTATCACTACAGAAGTAGATTGCCCCATCTTCCTTCCGAGGAGTGGCTGGTGGGTTTGAACCGCCAGCCTTCCGGTTAGCAGTCAAGTGCCTTAGGCACTATGCTACCAGAGCTCGCCTCTTCTTTCCCCGTAGGGAACCCTGTCGTTTTTTCTAAATCCAAAACAA